TTTCAATATCTGTAGCTGTACTTAATTTAATATTTTGGGTTAATTATATTGAAGGTCTTCAAACCATGAAGTTTATCTCTTTTTGATCTCTAATATTTCAATTATATCATTTTAGTTCCTAAAGTATTGAATATATTTCTATATAATTCCTCAAGCAGACAACGTCCAGATTGCTAATGATTTCTGATAATAAACTTGATACATAATACTTAAATATGAGCAAAAAAAATAATTTGAATAACTTTTAATCAAAATTTTGTCCAAATTTTAGTCAAAGAACAATCCAAATTATACAGTTTTGATTATGACTTATTCAAATTTTAGTTAAGAGCTATCTATATTATACATTTTTTGTCAAGGGCTACCCAAATTATTTTTTGTTCATATTTAGGTATCACATGACAAATTTATGATCAAAAAACGTTAACAATTTGAATAGTGCTTGATTGAGGAACCACGTAGAAACATATTTAATACTTGAGAGACTAATGATGTAATTGAAATTTTGAATACCAAAATGAAACAAATTCTACATTTTAGGGACTTCCAGTGCAGTAAACCCTAATATTTTGTGTGCCTTCAATCTTGATTTTACACCATTTGGGACATGAGCCACATGGTTTTAACAATTAATATCGTTTAATTTTTATGTCGTGTTATTTTGAATTATAATATCTTGATATCATATTACATTCAAGTCAAAAAATATATAACTAAAATTTATGATACCTCAAAAATGGTATCAATTATTAACAGAAAGCTAGCCATGACCAGGCCAATCTTCCGACCTTGAAGTCAAGCGTTAGTCTATGGAAAGGAACCCAGACTATTGTAAGATGACTCCAGAAGGAAATGCTTAGGTTGTCCCATTGGAGTCTCACGAGGAATCAGTATCACTAGAGCACAACCAACAGATGACAGACTCTTCTAGAGACGCGCAAGATCACCATGTGTCCAGGCTAGAAGACATGTCACACTGTCATCTTAGCACATTCTAGAAGATCACGTTACACCTAGGGAATATAGTCTTTAACAACCTCGGAAATATAAGTTCTAATGGTCTAATATTCTCTCAATAAAATCCTAAAAAACCAAGGACCACTTGATGATGACAGCAGCACCCCTGCCGATATAAAATACCAAGGCCCTTTTCGTGTAAAGATGTTGTTCCAAAATATGTTGTTATCGACGAATAAGACTCAAATGACAGACAATTTTCAAGCGATTACTAATGATGAGTTCAATTGTTTTAGGACTTCCTTGAATAAAATTTAAAACAATAAACACACAATCGTAAAATAATAAAAGAGAATTGAAAGAATGAATTAACAGCCTTAGTTACAGCAATAACTATTATCTAAAACTAACTTAATACTATTCCTAAAAATGCCAAATCGTGGGTCTTGTGGGGGTTTGAATGTGTCCTCTAACTTCCTCCTTCTCTGCCCTTGATAGCTACTATCTTCAATAATTTTATCTCCATCGACAATTATCTGACTCATAACTCCCAGGCAATTATTATTTTTTCAAATAAGGTTGTGTCCGACAATCTCTCACCTTTTCTCAAATTCTACCATGTGGCATATTTTTTAATATACCCCAATTCGACAGGTATTGATGCATTGAACATTCTTATAATTTTATATTTTAGGTCCAAACAATGCCCATGGGTTACCACTGTTTAAGTTAGACTTGAAGGTGGGTTGCCCAATAATGTTGTTAAGAAATATAGCGCCAAAGGATGGGCTTTGTAATGACACGTGATTGATTATTATCAGATGTGTCACACGCATAATTAAAGCTTAGATCTTAACTGGAGATAAATTTGGCAATTTGGTCTTCATTTCAAGAATATCTTTGTCACCTACATCTCTAGATTTGTCTTTTCAAATGACAAAACATCAATTTCTTGTTCGATTGATGTACGTTATATGACAATCAACAAATCTCAAGGACAGTCTGTAAAATTCGTTGGGGTTGATTTGCGCACACCAGTGTTTAACCATGGACACCTGTATGTGGCATTATCTAAATGAACATCTTCTGATCGTATACGTGTCCTTATGCCTGAAGATGGGTCGAATTGCACAAAGAATATCGTTTATCTCAAAGTTTTGTTATAGGACTTCCTATCCAATTGCAAATAAATGGTACCATTTCATTATAAATTTATCTCTATTGAAGATAAAGAATTAAAATAATTAATGATTTGATTAACTTTGTGATTTAATATTTGTAGGATTGGTGTGAAATGACATGAGATATGAAAAGATTAAATGAAATTACACTGCATCAATGGGGATGTGATATTAAGGTAAACTAAGACTTGCATTCTTGCAACAAAATATATTATTTTTAGATGTAATCAATTCTACTAAAATTTATTTTGTTCTTCTGTTTTTATATAATTAGGTGGTTGTACATTCTCGCAACTTGGTGTTTACCGTATGTATTGATACATACACGCTCAAGAAGGTGATGAAGAAAAAATACAATCACAAGCTGTAAGGCTAAACCATTCAGTTAATGTTTATGAATAAGACACTATTTTAATATTCTTTGAATTTAAGTCATATGCATGGATTTATATTTATTGTCTACCTTCTTGGTTTAATTATTGCATGTTTATGATTATCAAGAATAATATTACAGCAACGAATAAGTACATGGACATTTTAATTATTCTATTTCTCTTATTGTTGTTGGTGTGTTATTGTTATTATTCTTATAATACTAGATCACACGTGTTAGTAAAAAAAAATATTTTATTGTTGTAATATTGGTTAATTGTTCCTAATTTTATTATTATCAATTTAATTTGTAACTTTCATATTATGTACAGAAAATATGGAACGCCCTCCTATCTATGTATGTCGTAGTATGCGTTTGGCAGTATCAAGCATTGTAGATAAATTTAAAAATGATTCTTTTGAAGATGGAACCTCAATCTCAAAGTTTGGGTTGGAAAAAATTAGGTTAGGTCATATGCTGCAAAACGTAGGGAAAAACATAATTGAAGATTATATTATGCATAAAATAGCAAAGATTCTCCCCACCACCTGAGATTCTGCAAAAGAAAAAATTTTCAATCACGACCGACCAACCTGTGCAGTACGATTTATACAATTATTAGTGGAAGCAGAGTGCAATATCCATCTATTGTGGATACAGTTTGAGACATAGAAAATGGATCCACAATTAAATGTCATTGACCATATAAAATAGAAAGAATCATAATTTTACGAACTGAAACAAAAAGGTTTCAGTCTGAATAATCCAATTATGTTGTATGTTGTTGTTAGCACACCTCCATCTTCTTGGCCGATTGACTTCATTCATATGAAGTTCGAGAATGGATTCTTAAATATGATAGAATTTGAGGATCTGTTAGAGGATATCAAAAATGACTTAATCTATTCACGAGCATTAGAAGACGTGGAGGCTCAACTAACAAATAATGAACATCAGAACCTATGAAGCGATACTTTTCAGGTAAATATGTTTTCTCAATCTTTTTATTATTTGAATGTGGATGAATTGAAAAAAATATTTGTAGGCTTTTAGAGAATGGAAAAACATCTAAATATATATTTTTTTACAAATTGTATTCATTCTTTTGGAAGCTGGTGAAATTTTAAATGGCAAAACTTATTTTTTTGACAACATCCGTGAACTTATTTTTATTATATAGATGATTGCATTTGTGGACAGTTTTTTGTTTGAGATATTTATTACTTGGGTAGATTGAGTTTATAATTATGTTATATTATTGAATTGGATTATGGTAATGGTGATTTGATTTGGTTCTGTCAGTAATTTTTTTTTCCTGATGTATTTATATATGTGGTGTTACTTTAGAGAATTTTTTGTACATTTTTTATGAGTAATACAGTACATTCAGGCACGGACAATAACTAGTGTGTGTGTGTATATATATATATATATAGAGCGAGAGAGAGACAGAGAGAGAGAAAGAGAGAGAGATAGTCATAACCTATATATGGATATAGATAGATACGAAAGAGAAAAAATTTTAATGCTAGTCAAACTTCTAAAATTTAGGAGTTTTTAATTTTTAGTTTTACTTTACTTCTAAAGGAAAGGGATAGTTTAGTAAAATTGAGAAAAAATGGACTTCATAACAAATAAGTTTTATTAGCGGACTTAAATTCAAATAAGTACATATAGAAGGACCGACTTCCAAATTTCCCTAAAAATAATAATAATGGCAACAATGTTAGTGAGGCTTTTATTAGCTTCTTGTTCTCTTGATATTATAGAGGAGAGAAGAGTCTATTTAGTTTCTCGATAAGAGAATATATTGTGGATGTTACTATGTCATTAATAATAATAATGAAAATATAATTAATGGGGGTGTTGAAGGATGGATGGTGTTGTTATTATGCATTTTGAGAAAGATAATTTAGGTATTCAAAAGTTTTTCTTAGATATTGATATTTTGAAATAGTATAGATGAAATCACTTCTACGATGATACTCATGACATGAGTTATCATGGCTAAGAGGTATCGGATTTGGAGTTGAGTTTCGATGTGGAATTTTCTACCTTCAATACTTTTAGTGTTGCTATGAATTGAAAACGACAATGTGGGCATTAGTGAATTTATCAAAATTATTTTAATCAAACAAAAGTTTTTTTAATTTTGTTGACATTCTATAGTAAATTAGTAATAGTTTCAATGCACTGTACACACCGGGCCTTGGACAACATGTATTTTTTTTTCCCGAGCCTTAACCCACAAACCAAACAGGCCATGAATGTTTCTTCATGGCTGGAGTTGGGATAAAATTTGGTCTATCCTGGAATTCTGTTCGAGCAATGTTACACTGACCAGAAAAGAGGATCAAAAACATAGATCAAATGATGTGGCATGTGGCATCTGTTACCGTTGCTGTTCTAAGTGCAGGTGGTTACCAATAAACTCAACAACATTTCGGGACACTGATGAACCTCATGGCATTACACTGAATCCAAATTTTAGTCCAGAATAAAACTTGTATTATAAAATTAGTATACAACCAAAAGCTACGTGAATTCAAGTCTGGGCAACAAATATAAAAGACCTCTACTCCATGGATGAATCCTTTTTATGTAAACTCTTTCTTGTTATGAGGTCCGAAAATTTTCGTAACAAAGCTCTGCTTCTTCTACTGGAGTTTCTTTCATCTGAATCCTCGAAATGAGTACCATTCAGATGATCCAAATCTTCTGAATTTGGTGTATCTCCCTCATCTGTGAACACAGATGATCGTCTTCTGTGATGGGGCCCTGATTTTGGTATACGGAGCTCTGACTTTGGTGACACTGCATTATCAAATATTGAGCCTTTAAGTGCTTCAGCCTTTTCAGGGTCCTCATCTACAACCGTCCCATTCACATCTTCATGTTCATTCAGAATTTTCAGCTCACTAAGATTGAAGCTGAAAGTTTTCTTCAATTTGTTGTCCTCTTCACGCTTCTCTATGGTTGAATTTCGTGACTTGAACATCCCTCGTTGGTCCTTGTTCTTGGTCTTCAACTCTGTAGATGATGTAGAAAGTAATCGCTTCAGTTCCATGACGTTCTCATGAGCTGCTGTTTCACTGATCCTTAGGTGTTCATTTTCTTGGGTAAGAAGATGAAGAGCTTCATCCTTTTCAGCTATGCAATCCTTGAGATCAGAATTTTCAGCTCTGGCAATGCTGGCAGCCTCTTTTGCAACATTGGATTCGTTAAGTGCCTGTTTAAGTATATCCCTCAATTTGTAATTCTCTTCCTTTGCTGCTCTAGTCATGTTCTCAGCTGCTTTTAGGGACTCAACCAGTCTAGCATTCTCGCGTTGAGCAACAGCCCTTTCCTCATCAGCTCGTTTTATACAACTGACAAAGCCCATTTCTTTCCCATTCCATGCCAAAAGTGACTCTTCAGCTTCTAATCTCAACCTGTCTGCAGTGTTTCTATACAGCTCTGAGTCTTTCTTTGCTTCATCCAAAAGCTTTTTATACTTATCCTCAGTGCTCCTCACCATCACCTTCAATTGTTGTGATTCTCCTTTTACATGTTCTAGTTCCACTTGTGTAGAGCTGAGTTTTTCCTTTGCCTGATTGGCTTCTGTTGCAACTTCTGTTAATGCTAATGCTAGATCATCCATCGCCTTTTTGCTTTTTTCTTCTGCCTCGGTTGCCAGCTTCAGTTCATTTTTAAGCAAGCCTATCTCATCCAGTGGACTCTTGGCCTTCAATGAGGCAATTTTCTCACCCTCTTGAGCACAGGTCAAATTCTCACTATTGTTATGTCCATTAAGACCTCTACTGCTATGACTTGATGAAATCTCCAGCTTTTCAATCTTCTCAAGGAGAGAGGCAATTTCAAGCTTGGACTCTTCAAGTTCAATATTTCTTTGCTCGAGTAGATTTGTTTGGGCGGCCACTGAATCCAACATTTTGGATTCTGATAGCTTTCCTCTCTCTATTTCAGACTCAAGCTCTTGTATTTTTTTCTTACTTTCAGACAAAAAAGCCAATGCATGATTCTCAGAGGATTTCACTTTGCTCAATTCCTCGTCCATGCGATCGATTGATGCATCTCTCTCTGCCAATATGAGCTCAAGCAGTTTCACATTTGCAAGTTCAACTTTGAATGACTCAATTTTCATTTCTCTCACTTCCAATTCTTCCTGTGAAATAGACAACAATTCCTTCACAGCTTTAAGCTCACCAGATACTTCCCTAGCCTTCCTCAGGGATAATGCCTCATTTAGCCTCATGTTGGCTTCATGAGCTACCTGTTTCATCTCTAGAAGTTCATCAAGGGCTCGATCCCTTTCTTTCTGTATTGTGCCCAATTGCTCCTTTGTCCTCTCGAGATCCTCCTCGAGCTGACCCATCTGTCGTTGCATGGCTCTATCTATGCGGTTCTATACCAAAGTTACACAAAATCCAATATCAAAACAGTTGGATCATTTCAAAAAGAAGTGTGTGTGCATGCATCAATAAGCATATACACATTCCATTTAGTTTTCAAATTTGCCTCCAACATGTTATCTTAGGAAAACTTTGTCCCACAACACAACAATCATGAAGTGGCTTTTATATATGGGAATATCCATATGTACATGATTGGCGCAAGAAGAGCAATATATGAAAGCCAGTATTGTTGCAACCGGTGTCTGTTCAAATCTATACTATTTGTTGAATAGGTTTTTGTTCAAATGCGAACCAATGAATTATCATTCATATGTTCAAATTTAAACAGAATTTAAGTGTCATTTAACTGCCAAGAGCTCTGATTGTTCAAGGTGTCATTTGGTTCTCTGTAAATACAAAACAAAAAAAAAATTACTTCTATGATAGATATCAATCCTATTTGTTGTTATTGTTGAAATCTTGTGTTCAAAGCTGGTGTTAAGACCTACAAACCGCGGATAAGTATTTCATCTTAAAGACAGATGGCTTTGTGGGATGCAGTTATTGTCCAAAACACAGATTCACTTCGTCTTACTGTATCATAAATCTTGTCAGTTGTCAATTCCTCTTTGCCAAATTTATGGTTTTTGAAGTATTATTCTTTCAATTTCTACCAAAAACGATATAAAGATTCTAACCGACCCAATAAAGTATGAAAACCATAGGTAGTAAAAATGAGAATGGATCCATACCTCGGACAAATTGGCGACGTTTGAGGGCTTTTGATCAACAGATACAAGGGCGTTAGTATCAACTTGAGATGTTAGAGCGTCACCTCTACAAAACTTTGATGCAGAAATTGACCTGGTAAGAACTGATGAATTGTTCTTTTGTCCCAAACGGAAGGACCCAGGTCTGCAAAGCAGGTAAATCACACAGTTAATTCAATGCCTAACTTAAGAGGAGGCAATGATGTTTGATGCTCATACAATCAGTATATGCGAGAAACAAGCTGTACCCTTCAAAGCAAACATTTGTAAAGAAAAAAAATCTTAGGACACAAAAATACCATGAATCTAGATGCAGCAGAGAGAGAGAGTAAGAGGGTGTGTTTAGTACCTTGATTTGGAACGTAACATGGTGTATCTGGTGATTCCTCAGATATGTAGATCTTCTATCTTTGGGAAATCAGGAAAAATGGGACAAAAATAGGAACACAAATGTTTTCAGATACGGGGTCGTTAATACTTACCGGTTATAAGTCTTATGACAAAGTCCGAGGTTGGCGGGTTTTCGCACTTTGCCGTAACGGCAAAAGGTGAGAGAGAGAGAAACAGTCATGTAATTCGAATCACAAAAGACCAGTTGTTTGGCGGACATTGTTGGAATTCTCGGCTGAATTTACGAAATTGGCCTTTATTATTTCGGGTATTACGCGAAAAATCTCGGGTCCGACCTTGTCTTCTGGCCGGCAAATATGACGTTGGCAAATGGAAATTGATCCACTTGGGTCAACCTTTCACGGTGGGCTTGGTCTTTAAAAATTGGGGTCGGTTTGGACCTGGTATGAATTTGAGAATATAGACTTTGACCTAAACAAACCCACTCAAGTTAGCTCACTTAGAATATTAGAAATGACCTAGTAAATGTTTAATGTAAACCATGAGATGTGTTTTACAACGCATTAGAAATGACCTGCCATCCACTCGTAGGTGCTTATGTATGTTCCTGGTATCTGCCTTGACCCGTCGTCCAAATGAGATCATCGAGATTCATGTGTTGCCTTCCCTGCACTATGATTGGCACTTCAATTGCCCTGAATTTTAATAACACTTCCTCATACTGCGAAAAATCAGACATATCTTCGTTGTCCACGAAACATGTTTCCCTGGTAGCCAATTTCCATTTATTTTTAAGACGAAATCAACCACCCAGATCTGAAAGATTCACAAATAAGAATTGTCAAGTACATGGATGTTCAATCTCTCTCTCTCTCTCTCTCTCTCTCTCTCTCTTTCTCTCTCTCTCGTTTTGATTGAAGGGCACAGTGGATTCATCCTTTTTATATCTCTCCTTACATATTCACAGGCATGCCTCAAATCATGCTATCCAGCACATTAACCTCACAAGAGACCTTCCACGGCAGTTTTCCTTCCTTTGTCAAATCATATGCATCCTTGGAGATGTGTTCAGATAACACAGCTTCACGCAGAAACCATTTTGGCAATGCCATTCATGGCTTTCAATTGTTACTTCACCAGCTTGAGCACCAAATGAATCTCCCCAATATCGGAATGAGAAGTATCTCCCACGCAAAATGCACATTACTTTCTCAATCTCCAATATGCAGGTTGCTTCGTAACACCTAGTCTTTCATCAAATGATCAAACCACTCATTCTTATGTTTGCTCTAAACATACCTGCTGCAGCATATAAATTAGACAACATAACACAATCCCCATAATTCTTCTGTTCCAATGCCATAATAACTTTCTTTGCAGCTGATTGCCTCATCTCTACACTTAAATAAGCTTGACAGCCTGCAAGAGGTAGACACCAATACCCAGAATTGGCTTCAAAAGCCATCTCTTTGATCACTTTGAAAGCATTCATGTAAAAAGGCTTGCAAGGAAGTATTCATCCACATGCCCCATAAAACCAAAGCATCAAGCAACCAGACATATTCCAAAGGACAACAATTCGAGGTTCACATAATATACAACTTCGTAAGCATAACCCAAAAAAAAACATTCATTCTTTGCCATGGACAATTTAAAATTCAACAAACAAATAAGAACCCAAACATAAAGAGGTGAAACGATAAGTGAATTAAGTAGAACAAATCAACCACAGCCCAAACAGTAAAAGATTGTTTTCAACACAATTGCTGACAACAAAGAGAGTTCACCAAAGAAAATAGTACACAGCCAGCCTTTCCATTTTCCAGAACAAACAGCAGATTACAGCACACCAATTCCAGATTCCATAAACCATCTAACACCACTAATCATTACTAAACTTCAGTACCACCTATCTACTATATTACTAAACAGAGACAGGAAAACCAAAAAACACCACCATCTAATCCAACCAAGCCAGCACCACAACATTGTCAAATTAAGCACGCTCGCCCCTGATCCTCCTAGCCAGCTGGATGTCCTTGGGCATGATGGTCACACGCTTTGCATGAATTGCACAAAGGTTGGTGTCTTCAAACAATCCCACAAGGTATGCCTCAGCAGCCTCTTGCAGTGCCAGCACTGCATGGCTCTGGAAACGCAGGTCAGTCTACAAAAAAGAGGACACCACAATTGCAAACAGGTTAAAGCTCCAGAACTTATAAGCCAACCATAATATTAAAAAAAAAAAAATCATTACAAGCAGAACACAACAAACAAAACCCATTATTTCCAATCTACCTTGAAGTCCTGGGCAATTTCACGGACAAGCCTCTGGAATGGGAGTTTCCTAATCAGAAGCTCAGTACTCTTCTGATACTTTCGGATTTCACTGCATGGCATTGGTTACCACAAATTATTAACCCGGCATTCAAAACACAATATTCGTAGAATGCAAGTATGAAGTGTTGTGCATCACAATATCATCAAAACACTCACCGAAGAGCAACAGTACCAGGGCGGTATCTGTGGGGCTTCTTCACTCCTCCGGTAGTGGGAGCAGACTTACGGGCAGCCTAAAAATCAAAAATTCAACCGAAACACCAATTAAAAAACCCAAAAAATATGCATCCATTAATGCACAAACATATTTACGAAGTTTCATGAGATAAATAATATAAACAGAGAGGGAAAGGGAGAGAGATCAACCTTAGTAGCGAGTTGCTTCCTAGGAGCCTTCCCTCCGGTAGACTTACGAGCAGTTTGCTTGGTACGAGCCATCTGTAAATAACCAAAAATAACAAAAATATCAACCAAAAATCGATACTGATTGTTAAGAAATTACCACCACCAATATTCCCAAATTCTGAGGAAGACTAAATGAGCTTATTGCTCAAAAATCTAAACCAATGATGCGCATCTATAACAAATTACAACTTCAAGGAACCCCAAATATCAAGTATCGAAACTCTAAGATACGCCCACTCAAAAGATTCACAGAAGGAAAGGCATAAAAAAACATAAGTTGATTATCAATTTCATATAATAAAAACTCCAGACAAACCCTAGCCCTAGATATTCTACCAAGCATAAATCTCCACAAACCTAAGCCCTAATTGGACATGTAGACTCATACGGACAAACATGTACGCACAAAGTAAACCATATATCCATATACATATATACACATAGTAAATATGGTAATAGAAAGGAAGCCTTACCTCTCAGACGAGACAAAGAACTCTCTTCCCGTTCTCTCCACAATGAAGAAGTTCGTTTTCCGAAAACCTGTGAAGAGGATGGGTGTCTGTATATAAATAGCGTGAAGGAGTCGGCGATTAAGCGGATCGGACGGTTAAGATTCATAATCCGTGTGTTTTCTTAAGTAACTGTATCGACGGTGGTTAATGGGATCAGTTGTGTTTCCTGGACTTGAAGTTGACGGCTCGGATGCGAAGTTGGGGTTTAGAGTCGGATCGCTAGGCCTCAATTCTTGATTCCTATTGGATGGTATGTCCGATGTGTGTACTTTACATGATGAGTTCGGTGTTAATGGTGGTGGTGGTGGTGGTGTCAATTTAAGGTAAGCGTGATTAATTTAAGTCGTTGTTTACTTCAGAAGCCCTTGGCTTAATGGGATTTTACTGGGGTGTCCCAAAATTTTTCTGTTTTAATGGCCCTTTTGCCAACGCTGGAATATGTTAGGCATTGTTGGCGAGGTGTCATTATTTTCGTATTATATCAATTTTAATAATATTATTTTTAATTCGTGTTATTTATATTACTTATTAAATTAATAGATAAATTTGACACCCTCAATTATGAGAAATCGAGAATTGCATCAAATAGAGTCAGAATTATAGTAAAAATAGATTTAGAGCCTCCTTTATTTATTTATTTTCTAGGGTTGACCTATAATTTTATAATATCTGAAATTTAATCAAAAATTGAGAACAATTTTAGAAAGGATTTTTGACATATACTTTTATTACATATAATATTATGAGTATATTACACCAAGGCCTCTCAGATTTAGAAAATAATCCTCAAGCCAACATTATCTGTAGACAGAAGCCTCAACTCTGTACACCCAGTAGCATATAGCAGCAATACATAACTTGCATAACAATCAAAGTTGAGCACAAATGGCTTCTGGATATTATGCTTTCATTTGGAACTCACACTCAACTAAGGCAGCAACTCTAGCATCTTTCATTACCAAACCACTACTCAGAGACTATAGCAATAGCATTACTACTACACCATTAATACCAGTCAGCTAATCCATGAATAAAGCAGTAGCATTGCAGCTATTTCATTGCTCATTGTGTTGATAGATAACTTCCAAGGAGCCGTGAGATTATATGGTGTAAAACACCAATATCAGCACACTTAAAACATATATTCCGGAGGCCAATGTGTAAGGATCTATTCACCTCAGTAAGCTTATTCCTACGCTTTTAACAATCATTTGCATATCTACCTTTGAAGTATCATGCGCATTAATATTAGCAACAATGCCACCATAATAGAAGGGCGAGTGCATACAAAAACACATCATTCAGCCAGCTGCTGCCATTATACAAAGATATGAACAAATTATGAATAATTCCGTAGCAACTATAACAAACAGAACAATAAGCCAAGTAAGCTCTATGCACAATTCACCAATGAAGCCCTCATGCACGAACAAACCCAGCATCAGAAGCCATCCAACTGGAACAGCAATAATCTTTATATTATGCACACAAACTAGATAGATGTTGGGATTTTCTGGAGGCGATACAAAAAAACTATACCAACCTAGAACCGAAAACAATCCTTGTATTGTGGGACGCACATGATAATTAGTGAAACTCCAACTTTTAACCTTCTTTAAGTCCACTGAAATGCCAGCTGTTAATCTTCTCCTACTTTTAGTCCCATGAAGCCAATGCAACTGCTTATCTGTGAAAGGTGGCACTCTAAAAAATCAGACTTTAATGTATAACTTTGGGGCCTTGTATTTTGCTACAAGTCCTTGAAGTGAAAACAGTCATCGACACTCAAGTGCTTCACAAGCTGGAGGATTGCTGACTGCACAGCTTTGGAATTTGGGGAGACAGATCTGGGAAGTTCGGGTAAGCAAACAGGCAAATATTGCTCACTCTCTTCCCAGGGGCAAAATAGAGTAAGCACGGAACGGCAGAAGATAAATCTGGAAAGAGAGGACATCAAATAAGCATATCCTTGATCACCAGCCAGAATGACAAAACATTTAAATCAAAGAATTACGAGGAATTGATATCAGAGGATACATGCTTTTTTACATATACTGCTATGTCACTATTTACATTGAACAATCAAGTACATGATCTATAACAATGCATCTATAGTAGAAGAGAAAGCACCACAAAAAGGTGAAGAGAAGCACAATAGAAAACCCAAAGAGGGGGCACAATAGAAGCACAATTGACCTCTTAATTGAGAGAATCTTAAGAGAATTAAGGGTGGCCATAAACATAACTCTCGTCACATAGTTTTATCTTCTTTTTTCTCTTGGTTTTGATTCATTATTAAAAATCCCACCCTCTGATCAGAAGTCATTCCCATGCTTGTAATGCATGCCAAATATTTTAAAAGTTGCAATTTGCCCCTTCAACGACAAAAACTCAATTGTTTCTTTAATTTTTCAAAAGTGTATCAGGTGCCCCACAACCATATGGCGTGAGTTTTTTGTTTCTAAGAACATTAAGACAGTTAATTTTTCATTGGGCAAAGATCCAAAGGATAACTAATGAAAATTTAAGGGGAAAAAGTGCAACTATGATGACTTCATAGATGAAAAGCCCAACGCCATCTGGGTCTGAGACACATTGCTACACTTTTCTGAAATGAAAAAGGCAATGCGAAACTTTTTGCCTTTGAGGAGAAATTGACAGATATATATTTTGGTGGGATGGGCGAGTACATAAAGTGCAATTAGCTGTTCAATTTTAGCCTGAATCACAATGTTATAGAATTTTGAGCCTGAAACAACATTTAACGTCAAACTTGACAATCTGAATTCACTTAAAATGCAACCATCCACTATGCTTGCCCAGTGACAAGTGGAGTCTTTTTACTTACTGAAATCAGACCCTTTTTAAGCCAAATTATCTCATAACAGATTGCATGTATGTCAATCAGATTCAATCGCAGAACCAATAAAAAATTTATTTCCTATACTTCCAAACCTTTGAAACAAATTAATTCGATAGGCTGCATCAACAATAAACATGACAGATGTATTTCATCCAACAGTGAGGTTGAAAAATATTATAAATCCTAAGCATGATCGAAGGGAGTACGAGTGTTGTATCCCAGGTGTAACTGATAACAACCAGAATATTTTGGTCGATTGGGCTTTTCAAGTTGGGTGGAGCATCTCCATCAATTGGTGGACCCACCTTATCCTAGACCATTGGCATGTTAATCCATTTGGATGATGGGCTAATTTGGATGCCACAAAGATTGTGCCGCTGGCTGTCCAACTCATTTGATGCAATCAACTTCTGACAGTAGGTGATTCTAGATGACAACCCTGAATAAGCCTTCGCAATAATGGATCAAGCTTACTAAAAATATTTGCAGAATCAAGATAGTCTTCCAAACACTCGTGTTAGTTGTGCATGCTAACCACAGTCCCACCCAACTTTTTTCTTACTCTACAAGACATCGCAAGAATTAAAAAAACTCCCAACTAGGAATGTCAATGTGATCGAAATGGAAGACAATTACCTAAGAATAAGCCTTCGCAATAATGGATCAGATAAAACTTGAGCCCAAACCAGATCTAGGCTGGTTGATGTACAAAGTATGACCTCCCACTCTGAGAAGGCAGCTGAGATAACGCGTGCAGCATCACTGTAAATGCCCTGAAAGGACATCCGGTGAACAAATAAGATTAGCTAGGCCTGAATGACATTAAAAGGAGTTCAATGAGTTTCGCAATTAACATACCGTTTCATCAGCAGATGAAGTGAGGCCAACCAATTGGCAGAATGCACCCAAAGGAGAAGTCAAGAACAATGTAAACTGACTACCATTTTGTGTTGCATCACTGCCTCGTGGGTTTTTAAATGACGACCTCAAGGGTGAAAGAAGTATAGCAGTTGCTTCCCCCCTTTCTGCACCATGTAAAACCTGAAATTGACATATAAGCAACTTCAGAAGGGCAGAATTTCTGTATTTTTCTAGGAAGAATCAAAGTAGAAAGACCAAGAAAAGAAGAAACTACATGCTATGAAAAGAGAATAATTCCATCTCAAGGTCTTTTTACAGCAGGTACTTTAAAATAACGTCAATGGAGATCTACTAGATTATTCCCCCAACTGAGGAAAAAGTAATTATCAAAGGATTATTTGCTTCAAGCAGGAAGACACTGAATTTTAAAAGAAAAAACAGCTGAAGTAAAATCTATATACAACTATAAACTAAACTAAAGTAGTGCAACAAATTATAGGCAAGTTTTGACAAACCTGCCTTGAATACATGGCTCTTGTCACTATCTATTATCAAGAAAAGAGGTCTTCTGGTGAAAGGTATTATATCACCAGGGTAGAGATTATTTAGATCTGAAATTTTAAACCAAATATCAGAAAGAGTGAGTAATATGAATATAAGTGCAGACCCATCAAGAGTAAAAAATAATGTTCCTACCTCCATTTCTGCTAGGACCTAACCACAAATAATTCTCAAAACAATGACTTGAGTCCTCCTGGTCATTGACTTGATTTTTATGCAAGCCATTCTGTTCACGCAAAGTATAAGAACTAACATTGGACCTTGAAGATTTTTTCGACGTTCCACAGGTTTCCATTTGTGAAGCACTACTATGACCAACCTTCCCTGCAAATAGTTCACCAATGGTGGTTTTTTAGAATGGTAAGATACGATCAGCTCACTTTTTTATTAACAATCGAAAGGTAAAACTAACCTGAGGCTGATAAGTATATTAGCATAACACTATCTAGAGGAAGCTCCTCACATATCGTAGCAATAACCTAGCCATACATGAGTAGCCACGGATAGTTTTGTAAGTTAAATATCCAAACAAGAAAGAATAACCTGAATATGTACATAAAGTGTCTAAGTCATCCTAGTAATTATTCCTGACCAAAAAAAAAATCCTATTAATTATTCTAGAGTCGCTGGTAAACAAAATTCAGCAGGCACATCAAATTTGATATAATCAGTATTTTGACGAGTACATATATTCTGGACACAATCTCATGAGTATGGAACATACACAAAGACAGACATTCAATGCCATTTAAAGTTGTTTCTTAGATAAGTGGCCAGCATGAAAGCAAACGTCACAACAGGCAATGCAAAAATTGTATATAGATATGCTACTCAAAACATTTCTGGCTTTGTGAGAAGAAAGGGATAAAACTCCTTTCACAAAAGTCCTACAACAAGATGATGAATGCATGTGCTCTCTCTCTCTCTCCCTCTCTCTCTCTCTTGGAGATGTTTATAGGTAGCCTCTTACTGAAAAGAGCCTGGAAATGAAGACAACTGGGCCACCCAAAAAATTAAATAATTCAAAATGAAGTATTCTACTGGGCATCTGATCAGAAGCAGCATTTATACAGGCTCCTAGTGCAAAGCATGGTAACAACAATAAATATAAATGTCAAGGCTTTAATACTTACAGCTATCAATTGTGTCACAGAGGGACGGTAAAGAACAGCCTTCCTCGGGTTAGGAGGCAAAGTTGGATCTGTCATTTCAGCAGCCAAATTTATATCAATTAGCCCAGAAGTGACAGAGTGATCAGTAAATGGACCATTCACACGGGATTCAACTGGATGCGCTTGATAGAAAGATCCACTTGGCTCCCATTCCAAACATTGCAACATTCTGAAAGTGTCCATGGTAAGTTCTGCATATTTTACCTATGCAGGTAGATTATTTTGTAGCATTAGTTTTGAATTACAATTCACCAAATAATGTCATAGAAGCCACTAGTGTAAAAATGTAATACTACTGACTTCATTCCGGTGATAGCTTGTCAGCAATGCATCTCGTAACTTTAAAACTTTCTTCGCATGAAAACGGGCCACATATGGAAGGGAGGCAGGATGCGAATCAAATACAGCACAATATCGCAAAGGCCTAATGTTCATAAATGTTGAATCAGTTTTCATAAATCGGACAATTTCTTGTACCACCAGCTGCCATTCTTTGAAGTTCATTTGCTGGAAAGAAATAGTCCACATTACATTTTTATTTTCTTGCAAAATAATAGAAACTACCTTAAATATGAATGGAAATCAAATAGTAAAGAAATAACACGAATATAAGAATGCTATGATAAATGTGTGGCAGAACCATAAATGATAGTATTATGAAGGACTACATCCGTACAACAATTGAAGGGGTATCAATATGAGATAAATTCAAAGAAAACTGACTAAGGTGGTTTGAACATATTTATAAAATACCTGCTATTGTAAGTGACATGATACATAATGGGAAATGCTAGGGGTAGAGGCAGCATATGTCTTTAGATTGCCTAGCAACCACAAAGTCAGCTCCGTGGCACTATCGCCAGCCAAAAAAATCTCCTTTAAACTAACCAGAACAGAATAATTCAAAAAATGACCCAAGGCATGTAAAATAGTCCGGCCATCTGTTCAGATGAACAACCTAATGTACACAAATTTAAAGTTCTCAAAGCACATCACACAGAAAAAACACCACTCATGGTTTACATGGCACTCGCAATCTCCGAGTGCAATTTGAGAAATATTTCTTCTTCTTTTTGTCTTTTTCTTTTCCTTAGTTGGATTTCTTATCCAACCATTATGATGGACTTTCCAAATTTTATTAATATGTATAACTTAGGTTTCCTATCAAAAATTTGAGATATACTCGGAAGTGAATTTATATTAAGCCATCTTCCAACCAACAATTCTTAAAAGATTATACTTGAAGCAACTTCCACAAAAAACTTGTTTGCCAGCCACACAATGGTCCTCACAATTTTCTGCCTTCCTAAGGGTGTAGGTGGTTTGGTAATTAACATTCGACCAAGTTTATCAAATTAATTACACCCATTGTTGACAAAAATTATGGAGATAATGATTCAGATTACGAGGACCAAGGAAACACGGATACAAGATACAGGTAAGATACGATACGAATACGGCGATACAATAAAATTCCCAAAAATAGGATACAGGTACGATCGAGATACGTCTATAAATATATATTTTTTATATTTTCACTATTATAGGATTCGCCAGCTATACCTCACCCTCTTTCGCTCGGAGCTTTAATTCGCAAATTCAAAACAAATTCAACTCGAAGTCGCGCTCCCACTTCACTGAATTCGCGAATTCAAAAACTCAATTCGCAAACTCAATAATTACACTATTACTCAGGGTTAAAAGCCCAAAGACTAACTTGGGCTAACCGAAACATTCAAAAAGACCAACTTCTCCTTATTATACTCACCTAAAATAAGGCTTTCCAGCTCTAGAGATCATCACGTGCACATGTCGAGAAGGACAACATTCACTCCTAATTTATAGGCAAGCACTAGTGGTAAGTTTTCTTGGCTATTCGATGTGGGATCAACTGCTAGGCATAAAATGTCTTTCAACGCTTTTGTCTTTCAAAGCTTTTTTATTTTATTTTTTTTTACAAGAAATCTTTTTTGATTTAAATAAATTTAAATCATTTATCATATATTTGTATATAAAATTATATTTTTTATTAGTTTTTATATATGTAAATGTGTATGTATGTATATTATATGACACTCTCAAGGCGCTTCCACTCTTAGATTTTTTTAAAAATTTTTCGTTTTTGCACTCTCGCTCCCGTGTGACTTAGGCCCATAATTTTTATTTTATTTGAACAAAATAAAAAATAATACTACATATTTAAAATAGACAAAATATTGAATATTGAACATTATTACATTCTAGAAATAATCAATTGACATAATTACGTCGTATAAATGGAAATACGCTAGCCTTTTGCTTCATTTTCATCCTTTATTTAACCATTTTCAAATTCAATAACTTGAAAAAAAATTCATTAAAAAATTATGGTTATTCAAGAACCAAAATAGTGACACCCAGCATAGATTAGGTTACAAATATGAATGAAAAAAGAACAAATAAGAAAATTAATTGGGAGAAAACATACTAGCCAATATTTTGAAATAAAAAATTAGAACTTAACAAACTAACCATGAAAAAATTGAGAATAAACATCAACCAATGATGCGAGGGCGCTAACTGTGACTTTTAGCTTTAGGCAACACAAGGTGAGCATTAGACGACGTCAGAGAGGGAACGAGTAAAGAGGTTGAGTTTTTATTAGGGTGTGGGTTCTCTGCAAACAAAATAATGTTGTTTTACTGTTTAGCGGACAAAACGCCGTTTTGCAAAAAAATTGGGTTTTAAAAAAAAGTGATTGAATCGTGTGATTCATACAATACGAATCGAATCGTACGATTCAGGTGCGATTCAACTCTAAATCGATTTTCATATAAGATACGAATCGTTTTGTACCTGTACCGAACCAAATCGTAAAAATCGAACCGTGAATCATACGAATCGAATCATACAATTTTGATAACTATACTTAGGCCTTGATAGTTATAATTTTTAGTGATTCTTTAACAATAATAAACAAAATTAATAATTTTTTTTGAACATGGTAAATTAAAGGAATAAAAGCCAACATTTAACTATATTGTTTGATTAGAAGTATTTGTATGTGAAATCAAAATGAAGTGGTAAATATTAAAACTATGTGCAACAGTTGCCAAAATGCTCATTTTTTGTCTATAAACTCTCCTCGTTATAATTCTCTCTAGAAGTCGCCCCTACAATCCCTTGACTCCTACGGGCTATGTTTGAATTAAATCAGAGTACGGCTTTTCCTCCGAGAGAACGAAGTGACTACTAGGAGGGGGAAGGACATATCTTACTAAATAATCTGACTGAACCGCGTGAGGTATAGACAGATTATATCACATCTTATGTTGTGGCGAGCTGAAGGGACGAAAGGAGCCGGTTCCCTTGCTTGCTTACCAGACAAGAAGGATTAAACTTTAGACCACTAATGGACTATAACGAGCTGAATAATGTAGTAGCAGTACTAAAGCCTTGAGTGACTCTTGGCGGCCTTCAGTAATAGACACAATTACTTTGACTACTCTATTCCTACGAAACGAGCCAATAAAGAGTGGGGGAAGGGGTGAATTTCACATAAATGAAGAAGTAAAGATTAAAACTAAAAATTACACATATTTCTCTGCATATAGAAGTATCCGCAAAGTATCCATATATTTTATTTATTATTGGATATGTTTGATTTGTATCCAATATGTATCCTCTAATATCCGAAAAGTATCGTATCCAACACGGAATCTGATATGGATATATCAACCTTAACGAAGTATTCGTGTTCATAGGTGAGAACCAATGAAATAGAGGGGACAATTGTCACAATTGTGACAATAGCCATAATATCAATCTCATTGTATTTACTCTATAACCTTTGCAATGAATTTCCTAATTAAGTACTACTGCAAATTATTTGGTCATGTGAAGTCTGGCATAGTCAATATTTTTCATCATACCCCGTAGTTTATCAATGCTTTTCTTCTGACGTATCCATATAGTAGATAGAGCTTTTTTTTCAAACCAACACCACCACGTATTCTATATACAGCATCTTTGTCATTCCTATGGTTTCCTCTAATCATCTAATCAGAAACTGAAATCTCATTTTCAGTGATGTCTTATTGAACTTGAGTTGTTTGCTTTTAGAATCTTTGCTCAAAACCCAGACATCCTATACTCAAAAGCAATGTCACTCAGATCAGTAACAGCTATTATACAGGGTACTCATTACACAAACAATTCATAACTAAAACAACTTGCTACTGCAAAAGAAAGAACTTATCGGATGAAGAAAGTACTATCCAGTCTAACTTGAAAGAAACAACTCGCACACACTCCCTTTCTGAAAAGTCCCCCCTAAAATTTTATGCTATTGTTAGGAATGTTTAAGTTGGCCAACTTCCAATTTATTGTATATTCAATTTGGCATATGTTTATCATAAATTATGGTTTTATTACACTCTCAGTTGACCCTACCCCACCCCCATAGAAAAACAAAAAAAAATAATATTTGTGGCTTCCCTGCCAAACATCCTGGACTGCATATATCCAGATCCCATTATCAAACTCTGAAGTCCCATGGCGCTAAAATAAACTGTCTATTCCTTCCAACTCATTCATCATAGGCAATAACCTACAACCCAATTCCCTCTACATGCAATACTGTTCAGTGTCCATCAAATTTTTGAAAATTATCCGGCCCTACATACTCCGTACTTTTTTCCAGAAACAAACTGACAAAGATAAGACATGCTATAGACTCTGCAGCTCTCTTATGTACAATAAAATTAACTAAAGCCTTATGAAAAATACACTACGAAGTGGCCTCAAATGCACAGATGATGCAAAAAGAATAAAAAATAAAAATATGCTCGTTCTGAACATTAGCACACAAGTTTTCAATCTGGGGCCAAAACGTACCAAAACCAACGATTAATTAACCTAATTAGGACAGAAATAATAGTTCAAGAGGGGGGGGGGGGTTCCTAATGTCAATTAAGCACACACGCTGCAGAATTTCCACAAAAATCCATCAAATGCCGAAAAGCACATTGTAATTTGTAATGATATCGGAATCATATATCATTCTGAACAAATAGAGCAACCCTTACCCGAAAAGTGGCTTTACTGTCATCAACTGTAGCCTTCAATCTCTCCATAAGCACTTTCACCATCTCCGACTGGTTCAAAATCAACGAAACCAGCAAAAACCTCGCGTAAAACCTCAATTCCTTGAACCTAACCCCTCGATCCTTCGTCGAACCCTCAAAATACTTTCTATTTAGTATCGCCTCGTAGAATATATAAGATTCGATCAAAAACCTTGCCTCGCTAGTCCTCATGTACTGGTTGAAGTAGAGCTGGCCGATCCGAGACGCGATCTCACCGATTTCCCACCGTTGAAGCCCCGACTCGACGAGCTTTGACCGGTTCTCTTGCTGGTACTTCCATAGCCTCATGTAGGCCTTGAAGACCTTGTGGAAGTAGTGATTGTTTGTGCCTCGTCCGTACACCGGAACATCGCGAACCCTGGCGAATTTCCGGTCAGCGTTCTCCACCAGAGCTCGGAATGTCTTCGGAACGACGTCGTCCGCCATCACATATCCAAGCATTTTCCACCGGAGTTCATCAGAAAATACAACACCACCGGAGCTCTCTGTGAATATAAATATACATGTTTATCGAGACAGAGAGGTATATATATATATGTGTGTGTGTGTGTGTTTGTGCTTAAGTATATGTGTATACACAAATATTTTATATATAGAGAGTGAAAGGGGAGGGGGAGGGGGAGGGGGAGGGGTTGGACTTTTGTGGTGGTCAGCTGTGACTTTGAGGAGTTATGGTCTGATCAAATCAAAATATTCTGTTTTTCTGTTCTTTTTTGTTCACTGATTTCCACTGGCGGCGACAGTAGAGAGAGAGTCTGTGCAGTGCAGTGCAGTGCAGTTCAGTTCAGTTTGGAGTGGAACATGAAATTTTGGAGGATTTAAGCAGGAATATTTTTGTGGCTGTGGCCTGTGTGACCACAATCTCTGTGGATTTAAATCAAATCAAATGAAATGAATGTCCACTCCACTCCACTCTCTTTCTCCATATATATTTTTAATCTAAACTAGTTTTGCCCTGCTCCAACTTTATATAACTCCGTTTCGACTCTGCCTTATCGGAGACGGACGGACGGACGGACCAGAGCTTTGAAGTTTGTTCCCCCATTTTTTATCTTAATTTTTGTGGATTTGGATTCTGTCCGTTACTTTATTGTTACAAATCAACTATAGATTACGTTCCCTATGTTTCCTCTTTCTTCTACTCTCCTATCCCTCGTCTTATTTATTGGAAAAAAACAAGTTGAAATATTTTTTGAAATTAAATGTGACAATCACAATCACAATCACAATCACAAGTAAGAGCAGTTTGGAGCTGGAGAAGTGAGAGAGAGGCACAGAAGAGTTCAAGAAATGAGAGTTGGAGAGGTCGTGGTCATCAATGTTCTCACTTTACCGACAAAAAATGTAGGGCAAAAAATTAGGGTTAGGTGTTTTGATGGAGGAATCAAAAAAGGGGTTTTATATTTTTACATAATAATATAGTACATAAATTGTAATTTATATAAAATCATTTATTAATAAAAATCATCAAAAAAGTTTCAAAAAAAATTTCAAGCTTTGACTCCCATTGGAGCCTACGATTTCTCTTTGACAGAGTCGGAGATAGGGTCGAATTTTTAAATTCTTACACACCCTTAATTGTCTAGAGTATGTTATCGTTAAGATGTGGAATTGAACCAAATTGAACTGAATAATGAGTTGTTTAAATTGGCATTGTAAAATAATTTATAAAAATTAGGGTTTTGTTTATTTATCTTGTGAGCCGGTCTTAAATGAATAATATTTTACTAGCCAATATTTAACAAAATATTTATCAAGTCGGCTTTGAATAATTTAAATTTTTTGTATAATTTTGAATGATAATCAAAAAGGTGAGTTTGTCTATTTGGCTAAATTTAAAAATACTTCGCTTAAAAATTATAGACCCATAAATGACAAAAAAAAATACACGGTTCTTAATGTCAAACAACTCAATCAATTGGCTCCTCAATACTAGATAACCCTACTAATCCACACCTACTCTCTTTTCTCTCTCCCTTATCTCTTTTTTATTTTCTCTCTCTTTATTTTAATTTTAAATTATTTAATTAAAAAATAAAAATAATTTACCCGCTAAAAATATATACATTGCACGATCCGTACTCAATTTATAATATTGTAGAGTGTCTTCGGTCACGGGATTATTACTAATCAATTTATTTTTCATAAGACATGATTAGGGCATGGATTGAGTGATCCATGATTAGAAATTATAAACTATAACCTACAGCAACATAGATGGAGAATAATCATAGGGATGTTAAGTTTATATAATTGCTGGTTAGTTTGACTTAAATCATTTTTCTTAGTTGTCTTCCTATAATTAAATGTGCTCATTGTCACAGCTGATATAATAGAGGTAATGATCTCCTGATTTGGACTGTTTGTTAATGTTTTCTTTAAATAACTTTTTTAAGTGAAAATACAAGTTTGTCTATGTAATAAAAGTGATCTTTATAAATCTTAATAACGTAGTATTGAAATTTGGTTTGGTCTTTTAATGGGAGTTCAAACTTGATTTATTAATTACTCCTCCTAATTAATCTTGAATGAGCCTTGTTTTAGTTAATTTCGAGGCAAGCTCTGAGTACCAGTTTGGTATAAATAGTTACCAACTAACAATACTTTTTTCTAGCATATTGAATCAAGTTTTGAGCTAAGCTTAATGCATAAATGAGCTTAAAAATATGATTAATGATGGTGTGAAAAACAAAGAATGGTGAGTTGGAAGAGTTCATGGAGCTCTTGGTGAAATGTATCGAGTGTGTGAGTGTGATAAAATAATAGAAAATGTACGAGATGATTGAGTGGTTCTGCTGAAAAATACTAATCCACCGTAATGGAAGTTTTTGTATTTTTGAATTGTCTAATGCTTGAGGAAGAAGAAGAAGAAGATAAGTATACTCGATAATCAATTGCACATACCTAGGCAAGGTAATGACACTATTTGTACATAGGGTGGTGTAATCTTAACAACCTTGTCGGAAGAAAAAAATTGGGGTAATTATTGATGGGTGTAGGTTCCCTTCCCTACATGTGACAAGGGATGACAATGAATCAAGACGAAAGGAGTCTCAATCTCGTACCTGTTTCAAAAATAATTGTTTATCCCTCGGTTCATCTCTTGTTAGCGGGAAACATTTTAATCCCCGTCCCCGTTCCGTGGGTAAATTTTGATCTCTATCCCCACTATAGTCCACACCCATATAACAATTAAAAAAAAATCATAAAACTTTACCAATAAATTTGTAAGAAGGATAAAAATTCATTATATAACAAATATATTAAACATAAAAACTCACAAAAATAATATGTATAACAAATGTGTATTTCACTCAATTATTTTATTTGATATATATACACACACACACATATATTATGAGTTTAGCAAGGCGAGGCGTAGGCGGGGTAAGGATAAGTTTCAATTCATCTCCGCCTTCATCTCCACACAGGTTTATATGAGTATCTCCATATATGTCCTCCATTCAATACGTATAGTTTATCTCTAGTCTAAACGGGGGTGAGTGGACGAATATCTGCCTTTCTCCGATCTCTTACCATCCTTAGATGTGACATGACATTCTAGAAATAATAACATGACATTTTAGAAGTAGTGTCTTCTTGCTTAAGGTAGGGCTAGCTGATGAAAACCCCTTCTTCTTCTTTTTTTTTTTTAACCCTTTTTAACTTTTCCTGAGCAGGTGCACTTATGGTTGACCTAATCCAACACAAGTCCGAGCAAAGCAATTTCTTCTAGTATCATCAATCAATTTTAGCATGTTTTTCTGACAAATCGATCTCACACAAATAGGGTTGTGAGTTCTAAACGGACTTAAAAAATTGTTCAAACTCGACTTATTTAGGATATGAGTCGAACCCAAAACGAATCGATCCAGAGCTAAGCCCTAATAGTTCGATTATTTTACATATAAATGAGTCAAACTTAAATCAAGCCTTGTAGGCCCGTTTTTCTAAACAAATCTAAAAAACTGTTCAAACTCAATTTGTTCAAAACACGAATCGAGTCTTATACGAATCGAATCTAAATCGAGTTCAAGTAGTTCAACTCAATTATCAATTTTACACACAAGTATGTAACCAAATCGATCCGGCGTCCGGAGATTTATAGCCTACTTGAAGTATTGTTTTCCTTTATTTTCTATCGACACCAACTGGCAGACTATTTTGAACACCAACTATCATACCTGCCGAGTATAAACACCAAATCAAATATACCCCATGGAATCCAAAGCTGTTAGACAACCTACCATCATGCCCAAACGTATTCTATCATATCTTTATTCTACTAATAATATAATTAGGAATTGTGAAGATAATTTAGGTTCCACTACTTACTACAATTTTGAACTTATCAAACTCGACAGGTCATATCAGAAGAGATTAACATAAAATTAGTGGTTGAATGTCTTAATAATTTGTCATTAGGCCATAGGGATTTTTTTGTGTGTGTGTTATTTCTGCGACCGACCACTTCTGTGGTGTATTACAATGTTATGCAGACCAAGATTTCTTACCAAATTTTTAATCACAAGTGATGTGACATAGTTTTTATCATCAAATAAGTGAGTCATATTAATATTTAATTAATGATGAAGATTGCACCACATCGCTAAGGATAAAACACTTAGTAAGCATAACATTATTGTTAATCAAATTTCGGGTCCTAATAGGACCACCACGTGGAATACACTACAGAAGTGAGCATCAGCTAGTCAAGAAAACGAAAGGTAATAAGGGAGAAGAAACTTAATTGAAAGGTTCAAATATCACTTTCGAACAGTGAGTGATACATGGAATGTGATTTTAACAAAGATTAGCTTGGGTTTGTTCATTTGCTAAAAGGATTCAAACACTTCCACCAACAATTTCAACTTTTCTTTTCACAACAAATTTCAATTGTGAAGAGGACATTCACGGAAGGATCGATACAAAACTTTAATCTAAGAAGACGAATAAGAGAATTAACGGTCTTTTAAATATTTTAGTCTATATAATTTAGGCATATTGGTAATAGTTACATAATTACAATTTCTTCTAAACTTTTGGGATGCATTGCCCATATCCTTATTTCCATAAATCCTTCTTTGATGACATTTCTAAAGCATAAAATAGGTTGTCAAATATCAGCATATTTCGATTATCTTTTTTTTTTGTTGTTTTGAGCAAACCAAACATTCAATTATCTACTTGAAAATTACGTTCATCCTACGAATATTGTGTATTCAAAGGACAAAACTACGATATCAAAAAAAAATTCGATAAAATCTATATAATAAAGTACAATACAATTCAAATTTTAAAAGATAAATAAAATGACTTTTTACTTTTCACTGTTTAAATCTCTTTAAATTTTACTTTAGAGTTAATCTGACGGTTAATATTAACAACTCAAATTTAATAGGGAAAATAAACCTATAACATTGTGTTTAGGGTGACTTTTT